GCCTCGACCAGATATTTTTCTCGAGAGAATTTATCTGGTTGAAGCTGGGATGATTCTGCAACCGTGTTAGGAATCACACGTTAAAAGGTAAGACCTCGTTAGTCCTTAGCTCGCACAAGTTTCTCAAGTTGTCGTTCGTATGTCGTTAAACAGGTTTTTAAACAGTATCTTTATATATAAAGTATCTTTATATACAATGTAGGGTGTCTCCAGAGGCTCCAATAAATTCAAGATATTGCTAGTTGACTCTCGTCAAACTCAAACCATGAGTCCATTTCGTCTTAAACCAATGCGTAATAATGACCTGATTCAACGCCAAAACCACAGTGAACAATGACTGCATGAAGATTATAAAAGCTGTCTGCTAGATTGAAGTGTTCATCTATTTGGCACCTTCGTAAAAGACTGGTGCTTCCGTCAGACGTTGAGTCATCTTTGAAGATCGTCAGTGTTATTATTAGATATGTTACGGTAAATGTACACCTTCGGGAAATGTACTCTTTTACTGTAAAATTGGTACATTTCCCAAAAAGTTAGGTATATGTTAACTGAATATAATGTATATGTACATTTCCCGGCAAATTTGTATAAATACTTTTCCAGTTTTGTGTTTTGGGTAGTGGGTCACAAATATATTTATGATTTGAAAGTTCACACACAGATACATACATTTTCTTTGAATTGTACAACCACTGTCACATACTACATAGATGAATAGAATTAGCACATATATATGAACATTATTTAATATGCACTCCATGTAATCATTCACTTTATTTGGTAAACAGAACAGATTCGAAAAACAGCGTGGGAGTTGCTCCAAACAGGTGTACTACAAATGAACGTTATAAAACGTTCTAATCTATTCAATTCATTGGTGTACTGGAATTAATCAAAAGATGAATCAGAACAAGAATACGGATTTCAATCTCCAAATGGTTATGTGCTTAAAAATGTTTTTATATGAATCTGTTTGAAATCTGTTTTTCCGTTAATCAGCTGTCGCCCCCATAAGAACGACAACTCTCAGAATTTGAGAAACTTGTGCGAGCTAAGGACTAACGAGGTCTTACCTTTTAACGTGTGATTCCTAACACGGTTGCAGGATCATCCCCGCTTCAACCAGATAAATTATCTCGAGAAAAATATCTGGTCGAGGCGGGAGTCGAACCCACGATCTTCCGATCGTGAGTCGGGCCAATTCCACAATGGAAGCTACGTTAGCTTTTAAGGTGTTTAATTAATAATAGGGAAAAATCTGTAAGGAGCATAGTGGCCCACTTTTTTAATGGAATTGCAATTGAATTTCATAGATAAAATATTGAATGTTTGAAGGTTATTTCGGACTTCCATTGTCTAATATGATATAAATTGATTTGAAATACCTGAAAGAATCTGTAAAAAATTGAAAAGGTTGGCTGAAAAATAGCAATTATACTAAGTTAAAAAAATAAAATTACAATCAAATAAAATACAAGCAACAACCAAAAAAT